CCCCAAAACCCCAAAACCCCAAAACCCCTTATGCTCCTGATCTTGTTGGAGAAACTTTGATATAAAATTAAAAATGAGAAATACTTTTTTCGTCTGAATATTACTACAACTTGTGATTTGCTGAATACTTGCTACTACCTCACCTCCTCAGCCCCGAGCCAACCGTAATCCCTCCTCTCTACCAAATAAAAGACCCTTCCCATTATCAACTCTAAACCATGACTTGATCTTGGAATTTGCTCTACAAGACATTAAATCCAGTTCCCAAAAGCATGTTCAAAACGCCAATACTCATATTTTCCAACCTCTGAGCTCTTCAGCTAAATCAAGCTCTAAAACAACTTCTAAGCCATTTGAGAAACCAGCAGCTGAAGAGTTCTGAAGAACGCAAGAGTCTAAGATCGGAGCACCACTTGACTTCACAAAGGTATGGAGCTTCGAGGTTCTAGGAATCAAGGTCCTGCTCCAGCTCCAGTTTATACTGAAGATGGGCTGGTTTGTGGTGCAGGGAGAAGCTAGAGAAAATGGGTATCAGGTCACTTATATTCCTTTCCTGCTGGGATACTCTTATTTGTGGACAGATGTTGACGCAGGGATCTCTAAGTTCTATATTGACCCAAATTTTCAGTATGTCTGGATGTATGTCCCCGTTGATGTGGTTTTAACGAGCGAAAGGATCTGAATGAAAGCAGTCTACAATCTTGCCCCAATGCATTTTTATGTTGAGCTGAATCCATTTCTCAAAGAGTGAAAATTTGAGATATTTGATGAAATCTTATCAGAAGAACCTTTGAATTCTGAATGAAATGATGTGAAAAACTTGACTGCTGTTGTTGCAAATACCCATTTATCTCCAGGACATTCACAGCTCTTGTTTGATATGTGTGTAAATTTCTAACTCATCTTTTAAATTTCTCTGTTTTTTCTGATGAAATTATATTTTTATGAGTTTTTGAGGCAGGTAAAATTTAATTCGCTGAGATTTAGCTTCAAAAGTTATAAATTCACACGGGGTTTTGGGGTTTTGGGGTTTTGGGGTTTTGGGGTTTTGGGG